TTATTATTATTATTATTATTATTATTATTATTATTATTATTATTATTATTATTATTATTATTATTATTATTATTATTATTATTATTATTATTATTATTATTATTATTATTATTATTATTATTATTATTATTATTATTATTATTATTATTATTATTATTATTATTATTATTATTATTATTATTATTATTATTATTATTATTATCAAAATTTAAAACAGTTGAGTACATTTTTTTTGGGATTCTTTGATGAATAGAAAGATCCAAAGATCAGCATTTATCTGAAATAAAAAGCTTTTGTAACATTATACACTATACAATTCAAAAGCTTGGAGTCAGTAGATTTTTTTTAACTAAACTAAAATGCGCTTTTAACATACTATCTCTGTATTTAAAAAATGTATTTAGTTACCACTTGTGTGTTCAAACACTGCCTGAGGAGAAGAAACAAGAATCAGAGAGCTTCCAAAAAGGAAGAAAAGCAAGTTTGGCAAAAGTTGGTCTCGAACTCAGTCGATGGTATCATACACTACTCCCCAATGCTTTACTCTCCAACCTGCGCCACTGCAGTTGCTAAATAACAGTGTCCACCGAGATTAAATAAACACAAGTGTGTTTATTCTCGAATTTTTTTCTTGAAATTTAACGAGTTTTTTCTCACAATTTAACTACTTTTTTCTCGTAATTTAATGAGTTTATTCTAAACATTTTATTTTGACTTTTTTCTCTAAATTTAACAACTTTTTTTCTTGCAATTTAACGACTTCTTTTCTCGTTATTTAATGAGTTTATTCTCAACATTTTATCTCAACTTTTTTTCTCGCAATTTAATGACTTTTTTTCGTAATTTAATTCGTTTATTCTCAACATTTTATTTCGACTTTTTTTCTCTAAATTTAACGAGTTTTTTCTGGAAACATAATGGCTTTACTATTGAAATTTAATGTGTTTAATCTCAACATTTTATATCAGCTTTTTTCTTGAAATTTAACAAGTTTTTTCTCGAAATTTAACGACTTTAATCTCAAGATGGTTTTATTTATTTTTTTATTATTGCTTGGCCCTAATCCTCTTCCGTACGCCCTAGTGCGGGCTTGGCAGAAGTGCGGCTCGAGGGTGCATAGCAGCTGCAAAGGGGCTGCTTGCGAGCAACCTTCTGAACGTAAAAATGTTGAATGGGACACCCTTCGGTCTTGTGGACTTAACGAGCACGCGCATGCGGCGGCCATTGTAAGTCCATAAGACCGCAAGTGCACATGAAGTGTTCCATTTGGGACAGGGCCAGATGTCATGCCGACGTATGCTAAAAATCTCTCGCAACAGCGAGTCAGCCATGCAGTCGAGCGCAGTTGTTCTCTCAGCTGCGCTGACCAAAAGCACAGTGGGAAACGACTTCCTGAAGACACAGCTTCCAGGCAATTCTCAGGTAAGGCTAGGTGCATCTCAAATGAGCCTATTTATTCGTATTATGATTTATCCTTATCACAGAAGTAATTAGGATTGTTCGAGATGAACTACACTAGCCTGCCACCAGTTGGTGAGATCTGCTGGTTGCAGGCGGGGGAGGAGTAAAGAAAAGGCTGTCAGGTCGGACACTTCGTGCTTTCTGTAGTGTGCTGAACCAACGTCATTCATGGCAAGCCACGCGATTTTCGCGTCGATTGTAGCCGAAGAAGTGGATGCGATTAAAATTCCCATGTTTTTGCATAAAAATGTTGGACAGCAAGATTGTGGACAGCAGAAGTGATACAGGAACTTGTCTAAGAAATAACATGCAACACTCGTCGTCCTTGTCATCACAGAATCTGACCAATAAGAATAAAGTGTGTCATCATCAAGGCTTTGTCAGCCGATTTTGAGCAACTGCTGTGCCAGAACTAGGTGGCTGGTCTCGCTTTGCTCTCGTGGTACTTTGATGACACATGTGATGTCCAAATACCCTTTTTTAATTATTTATTTATTATTTATTTTATTAACAATATCAGAAAAATAGACATAAACATTTGAACAAGAACATGTGGGGTATACAGTAAAAATCAAAAGGTAATTAAGTAAAAATAATAAAATAATCATAAAAAAATTATAAATAAAAATAAAGCTGCAATGAGCAATTATCGGGGTTCAATCGCTTAAGGCATTTAAGCAAATAAGGGAAAATACACTGTGTAAACAAGGATGTAACCAGCTAAATCAATTATTAAAAAGATCATTCTTGGCAAGTGCATGTAATTTACCATATAAATATGAAGCTTATTACCATTTATGACTGTAATAGCACCACCTATGGTCGGATTGGAGGATTGCGCAATAGTAGGTTTTTTAAATAATGTCAAATATTTAAAGGACAATTTGATTGACAGTAGTGGTCCTAGAGGAAAAGTTGTTCAGAATCAAGAAATAGATTGTACAGTGGGAAGATCTAGTGTGTGCGTGAATGTATGAATGTTTTCTGCAATTTGAGGTCATTTACCATAGAAAAAACGTGTTTTTGAATCATTTTTAACTGTTATAGCGCCACCTGTGGTCCGATCTCTTTAAAACTTTGCATGCTTGTTTAGAATCACCTGTCGCTTGGGCTCGCCAGGTTTTGTGAAGTTTTCCTTTGGTCTTTATAGGATTTTGGGTAAATTTGGGCAGGCCCCTTTTCTAAATGATGCTGTTATAGCTTCCCAAAGGGTACATTTCCATTTTTCTTTGATAATTATTGACCCAGAGAGTCCAGAGAATTGTACAGCAGTGTTTTTTTTTCCAGATTGAGCAGAAAACCTCGGACTAGTTTGCAAAAGTACATTTTTACATTTTCTCAATCATTTAACAAACGATTTGATTGACAGCAGTGGTTCTAGAGGCAAAGTTGTCCAGAATGAGGAGTTCTATTTACGCCCAGTGGCCAATTTCTTTCAAATTTCTCACAGACCTTTGGGGCCGTGAGTTGAACAGGCCCACCGAGTTTCGTTCTGATCGGCCTCCGTTAACCTTCACTAATAGGTGCTCAAAGTTCATCTTATATGCAAATGTCCTTATAGACACTTGTGGCACTTTGGACCAAGATCGTGCACACCGATTTTCATGTTGATAGGACAAATGGTTGCGCAGTTATAGCCATTTTTAAGCGCCACCAAGTGATCAAGCTCTGCGATTTTATCATGTGAGCTCAGATTGAGCTCTTACATAAGTGTTCTGAGTTTGGTGAAGTTATAGGCATTTTATTAAAAGTAGCCCTGCCCCTTTCTAACATTTTGGCGTCCCTTTGCAACAGTGAGTTGAAAGTAAAAAAAACTGGGGGGGGATAATTATTGATATTCACTCTCCAGAGAATCTTTCTGCACTAGTTTGGTTCCAATCGTGCGAAAAACCTAGGACTACTTCGCAAAAATAGGTTTTTCAAAAAAATCTAAAATACCTGAAAATTCACGGTCGAATCTGAATGCATTTTGTCCGGCGTGAGGCAAGGATTCCAACGACATAAGTCACTTGAGCTTGGTTTAGGAGTTATGAGCGATTTCATACTTTTGATCGCTGTAGCACACCTGCCAGGCCGATTGGGGCAATCCTTGTGAGTACTACCATCCCTCCAAGTTTTAAGTCTCTACGACTTATGGTTTGGTCTGCACAATCAGTTTTACGTGGAGATTGCTGATCTTTGGCCATTCTAACAATCACAATAGGGTTTCAGCTCTACACACTTAAACCCCTAATAAATAAATCATAATCATACAGTCATACAATCATACAATCATTTTACAATTTTAAAAGTTACAACTTATTTATTAATTTTTCTATAAGACTGGATGTTTTTAATGAATTTGGATATTTTTCTTACAAAAACGCATCGATTCGCTACAGAAGGCCTTTGTTCTCCCCCCCGGAGCTGTGTGAGTCACTTTTTTTTTTATGGATGGGAGCTTTTTATTTAACTTCTTTTGGACGGACGCATGCAACACCCGCTGAGTGCCATGAAAACAGATTGAAAGATCAAAGACAATTTTTAATATACCTCCGACTGGATTCGTCTGAAAGAAGAAAGTCATATACACCTAGGATGACTTGAGGGTGAGTCATTTATGGGCTAATTTTCATTTTTGGGTGAACTAACCCTTTAAAGGGATATCACAAGGAAAAATTAAAGTTCTGCCAAAATGACATGTTAGACCAGACCTAGTCTCAGCCTCAGATGTGTAGGATTTCTACATGAACAGACACTGATACGCCATTGAATCAACTCATCACAAGGTCTAAACTAATCCAATCAGGAGACAACCAAGCTTTCTTTGTATCAAGGACTAAAAAAGTTCTTTCACAACCTATAGATACCTCGTGATGTCTTGTGATCGCACAATGTATGGAACTATTATATCCAACAGGAAAAGGACGAGTAATTTAATCACACCCTCAGGCTTGCAAAACAACGGACCTAAAGAACAGTGAAAATGTGATTCAATCAAACTCAGCAAACCACCGCATGACGTGTATGGACCTCAGGAAATTCTTCCCCTCTTCCTTTCTCTATTAAGAGAGGAAATGCAGACATTGCATGGACCAAGTTTAAAAGACAACATTTAAAATCATTTAAAGTATCGGAGCAATATACTCCCAAATAATAGGCGTTATTTTGAACAGTGTGTGTTGTACGACACTTTATAAGAAGTTATTAAAACTTGCAGGAATACGCCCCACTGGAAGCATGTGATTCATGCATGATAAAGGAACAGTATGGGGCGTGGCTAAGCCCCGCAGCCACTCTCTGATTGGAACAACGACCTGTGGGATGGACCAAAGTCAGCCTGCTAAAAATGGACACAAAGCCCTCGTGGCTCGCTCGCGCTCTCTCTCTCTCTCTAGAACTGTGTAAAGTTGAACCTTGCCAAGATCTTGTTACCTAGCTCGTAGCTTATAACTGATCAAAGAACGTATTAACCCGTGGCCAGGGAAAATACAAATATTCAAATTGTTAAAATATACTGAGGTTAACGTCTCGCTGGACGACCATTGATAAAGTGTAAACTATCAAATTGGAAATCAGTTCTAATCAGGTTGACTTCGAATTTTCAGATTCGATTCCGTTCAAAACCTGAGCTAGAATAATAATGATTAATTCCCTAAGAAAAGTAATCTGACATTACAGATGTCACGCCCTCGGACCGCTGGCTGAACGTCTGATGCATATGGCACACAAAAGTGGAAACACTTCAGGAGTTTTGAAGAAGTCATCGGATTGGTTGAATTATACAGGATTTCTGAGAGACGTGTGTGTGGCGTTCTTTAATGTTCCACCTGGAAACAAAGATGCCGTGACGCCAAACCCCCTCACCAAAGAAGAAAGCCGTCGTGTTTACAACTGTGACGACGAGCGCTTATCAGGATCAACTAAACACTGGATTTTCAAAAGTATGTGAAATATTCAAAGTTCACGGCATAGAATCTTTAAAATACGTCCGAGAGTTTTACACACCGGTCTGTTATTGTAGCGACATTTCCACGCCCCCAAAACGTGACGTACCCCTAGGACTCTCATCTTCACGCTGAGTCTCCCCGCCGGTCTGCCTCTGACAGCGGCACTGCGGCCAGAGGAAAAGACCAGATAATACAGCTCGAGTTGGAAAATGAGCGCTCCTTAGATATGCTTACGGAAACTTAATCCTGGCTTCATATCTTGCAAATAACATTAGACCATTAAAGGGATAGTTCACCCAAAAATGAAAATTTTCGTGACGACACATTGATGTCCTAAGACACGAAACGATCGGTTTGTGCGAGAAACCGAACAGTATTTATATCATATTTTACCTCTAATAGACCACTATGTCCAACTGTCTTTGGGCGCGCGCGCGCGCACTGCATCTGGTGCGTGAGGTGTGTACGCGCTCTGGCGTAGTTTACGCAAGCGCCGGAAGTGATCTCTCGCGCGTATACGTCACTCATTGTTTACACAGTGCACAGTCATTGTAGGTACGACGGCTAATCAAAATGGTACTTACTTGCATCCAGAACGCTGCTGCCAGAATTCTGACTAGAACCAGAAAATCTGAGCATATTACACCAGTCCTCAGGTCCTTACACTGGCTTCCAGTTATATTTAGGATTGATTTTAAAGTACTTGTTATTATGCCGCCCGCAGTTGGAATCAGCTTCCAGAAGAGATCAGATGTGCTAAAACATTAGTCACATTTAAATGCAGGCTCAAAACTCATCTGTTTAGCTGTGCATTTATTGAATGAGCACTGTGCGATGTCCGAACTGATTGCACTATATTTTATGTATAATCGTTTTCTATTCTTAACCATTTTAAATTCAGTTTAAACCTTCGGCTGGATATCAACACACCCATTACCGTAAACTACGCCAGAGCGCATACACACCTCACGCACCGGATGCCGAGTGCGCGCCCAAAGACAGTTGGACATAGTGGTGTATTAGAGGTAAAAAAAAATGATATAAATACTGTTATTTATATAAATACGGTTTCTGGCACAAACCGATCGTTTCGTGTCTTAGGACATCAATGTGTCGTCACGAGCCGCAGGGTTTAATTTGGATTTGTCTGTGCATGTTTTTTTTACTCTCATAGATTTTGTTACCATTGCCATGCATTATATGACTGATAGACTGCGACGGCTGGAGTTAAAAATCATCATATGTGTTCTACTGAAGAAACAAAGTCACCTACATCTTGGATGCCCTGGGGGTAAGCAGATAAACATCAAATTTTCATTTTTGGGGGAACTATCCCTTTAACATTTTTTTTTGTCTTTGGAATGCAAACATCCAGGGTCAGGTGAGGGCCTGAACAACGGAAAGCCAACTGCTGAAACCTGGCCGTGGTTTGTTCTGATGGATGAGATGTTGGGTCAGATGTGGCCCAGTTATCCTAAAAGGTATCTGCGCCAGTTTTGGCAAAGTAAGCACTGGCTAATATGGCTGTGAGCCTAAAGTGGCCTGCATATGATGCCACAAATGTGGCCCAGTTATCCTAAAACATCTCTGTGCCAGTTTTGGCAAAGATATGGCAGATTAAGCACTGGCTAATGTTGCTGTGAGCCTAAAGTGGCCTGTATATGATGCCACAAATGTGGCCCAGTTATTTAAAAACGTATCTGGGTCAGTTTTGGTAAAAATGTGGCACAGTAAGCACTGGCTAATGTGGCTGTGAGCCTAAAATAGCCCTCATATGATACCACTAATGTGGCCCAGTTATCCTAAAACATATCTGGGCCAATTTTGGTAAAAGAAGGGCACGGTAAGCACTGGCTAATGTGGCTGTAAGCCTAAAGTTGCTCGTATGTGATGCCACAAATGTGGCCCAGCTGTCCTAAAACGTATCTGGGCCAGTTTTGGCAAAGATATGGCACAGTAAGCACTGGCTAATGTGGCTGTGAGCCTAAAGTGGCCTGTATATGATGCCACAAACGTGGCCCAGTTATTCTAAAACGTATCTGAGCCAATTTTGGCGAAGATATGGCACAGTAAGCACTGGCTAATGTGGCTGTGAGCCTAAAGTGGCCCTCATATGATGCCACTAATGTTGCCCAGCTATCCTAAAACATATCTGGGCCAATTTTGGCAAAAGAAGGGCACAGAAGCACTGGCTAATGTGGCTGTGAGCCTAAAGTGGCCCGTATATGATGCCACAAATGTGGCCCAGCTGTCCTAAAACATATCTGGGCCAATTTTGGCAAAGATATGGCACAGTAAGCACTGGCTAATGTGGCTGTGAGCCTAAATTGGCCCGCATATGAAGCCACAAATGTGGCCCAGTTATCCTAAAACATATCTGGGCCAGTTTTGGCAAAAATATGACACTGGCTTATATTGCTGTGAGCCTAAAGTGGCCCGCATATGATGCCACAAATGTGGCCCAGTTATCGTAAAATGTATCTGGGCCAGTTTTGGCAAAGATATGGCATAGTAAGCACTGGCTAATGTGACTGTGAGCTTAAAGTGGCCCGCATATAAAATGACAAATATTGCCCAAATAATTTATAACAATTTGGGCCACTTTTGGCAAATATATGGCACAGTCAGCATTGGCTAATCAGTGTGTAAGCCTAACTTGTCCCATATTTGAAATGGCAAATATGTCCCATATATTATAAAACAGATGAGGGACACTTCTGGTTTGGATGTAGCACTTGACACTGGCTAATTGAAATGGAAGTTTGAAATTGTAAATATGGCCTAATAGAATTTGGATACTTTTAGTAGGATGCAACACAGTTAACTGATACAGGTTGATCTGGATATAAGTCAGTGATATAAGTCTTAAGAAGGCTACATACCCAGCAATTTATTTTTTTGAAACATGCTTTTGATGGCAATTTTTTATATGTGTACTGTGCAGCATAAAAACAGATGTGCACTATAATGATAGCTCTAACTGTCACGGTTTCTGTTAATTTGGACTTTGTTGTCCTTTTGCACCACTTCCCGTGTTGTGTTGATTGTATTATTCTGTTCAGGTGTGCCTAGTCAATTACCCTTGTTTGGTCTGAGTACTTATTGTATGTTCACTTTGAGTTTGTCTGGTCTTACGGCTACATGTCTTGAATGTTGCTGTGCTACATTGTGTTTGGATTTACCCTTGTTGGATTAAAGACTTGTGATATATAACCTTTCGTCTTCGTCGTGTGCTCTTTAACACAGTGTAGCCATGACACTTATAGACTTACTGTGTAGGTAGAGTCTGAGTGAGAAGCATTTAGGTTCAAACTTGTGAAGAACTGTTTTCGAAGTCTTGGAATTTTAACATTTAAGGAGGACATTTTTTTAATTTCTCTTTACAATATGTTGAGTATTGTTGATGCATAACTCACTTAAGGCTTAGTGTGGCCCAGATAATGTATATTTATGGATTATTTGGTTCATTATTAGCTAAAATGTGGCTGTGTAGTGGCCTGCTTGTGGACCACTGCCAAAATGCCACTATTCCATGTAGCATGTGGGCCACATGAGGAATGTGGGGAAGACCAGGATTAGAATAAAAATCAACGGTGGCCCACATTAGGGCCAGTTTTGGTTTGTTTGGTTGGCTTGCATGCGGCAATGCTAAGGCTTACTTGAGGCCCCAAATCTGGCAAATAGGAGTGGTCCACCCAAATGCCATCATTTGATTAAACCAGGGGTGCCCAAACTCGGTCCTGGAGGGCTGGTGTCCTGCAGAGTTTAGCTCCAACTTGCCTCAACACACCTGCCGGGAAGTTTTTAGTATGCCTAGTAAGAGCTGGATTAGCTGGTTCAGGTGTGTCTAATTGGGGTTGGATCTAAACTCTGCAGGACATCGGCCCTCCAGGACCGAGTTTGGGCACCCCTGTTCTAAACCGTATGCAGGCCAGAGCAAGGTGTTGGATCTAGGCCGGATCTGGGCCAGAATTAAAATCAATGTTGCCCAGATTGGGCCAGTTATGGTTTATTTTATATTATTCATTTTCATGGCTGACCTTCGGCCTACCTATGGCTTGCTTGTGACCCAAATTTGGCAAACAGGAGAGCACCGCCCAAGTGCCATCATTCTTCACAGTATGTGGGCAGGAGCAAGGTTTTGGATCTGGGCCAGAATTAAAATCAATGTGGCACAGATTTGGGCCAGTTATGGTTTATTCATGGCTGACATTGGGCCTTCCTTTGGCTTCCTTGTGGCCAAAATTTGGCAA